ATGGTGGCAGGCAGGAGAGCATGTGCAGGGGAACTGCCCTTTATGAAACTATCAGATCTTGTGAGACTTACTCAGTATCACGAGAATATGGAAAAACCTTATTCATTATCATGAGAGCATGGGAAAACCTGCCCTCATGATTCAATTACCTCCCACCAGGTCCCTCCATGATATATGGGGATTATGGAACCTACAATTCAAGATGAGATTTGGATGGGGATACATCCAAACCATATCACAAAAAATTATCCAAAAGTTTCCAAGGGTCCTATAGGAATAAGGTGATGAGGCACCTAACTTGCCTGGGACCATCATAGTATACAACTGCTGTCCTACTGTAATTATTAATATCACCCTTCCATTCTCAAAAGTTCTCCCTGTGTGTAAGGCTGGTCATCACAAGATATGCTTGGTGGTGGGCAACTGGAGGTAGTTTGAGGAGTGGAGAGGCAAAATGCATTCAGTTCACACTGTTCAGAAGAAAGCTGGATGAAAAAAGAAACAGGTTGAGGTAGATAACAATGACATTTGCATATAGTTAAGGCCCATGCATATATAAAACCATATGACTTATAAGAGCACTTACTACTGAAAGGACATTGTTGGAATAATTGCCTTGGGGCAGTAGAGGAATCAGAGTGGGATAAAGGAAAAATAAAATGATAGAGATCTTGTTGGACTAAAGATTATAATAAACCATTGAGAAGGGTGATTAACTCAGCTTCAGTATCTGAATTCAAAAAGTAAGGGTTCCACCAAAATAAATGAAAACAGAGAATTTTCTTTTTAATTCAAAAAACTAAACTCTGGCTTCTCTTGTGAAATTGATATTTATATATTTAATTAATTTATTTATTTTCCTTGAGGCTCCAAAGACATTGAAGGCTGCCTAATAAGTATCTTAAGTAGAACAATATAAATATAAAATTATTTGAATGAAGAAGCAGAACTGAGTGTATACAGAAATAAGAAAGATAAGGCAAAGCCAGTGCAAGATTAACATCTAAAATTCACACAAAAAGACCTGTCAATCAGCTAGAAATGGGTCTCAGGTTTGATGCTAAATTGTCCAGCAGGTAATGCAAAGAAGGAGATGCCCTCTTGTCCATGATCCTTGTTATCTGTAATAAGAGCCACCACAAAACCATTCTAAGTACTAGAAAGCAGCACGCATTTCCTATTCTGAGATCAGAGCAAAATTTTTCCCTTGGGCTCTTGTAAGGAGGGCACTGTGTAATGAAATAGCGACCTAGAAAACTAATTTCTACAGCATGAGTCGTTCTAAAGCAATATGGAAAACCAAAATGTTAATTTATTCTAACAGAGTTTGGGGTCCTTGAATTTCCACAAAATAACCAGGTTTTAGTTTCAAATTAGTTCAGGAAACATTCCTAGGTGTGCAATAAACCTTTGGGCCCTCAGAGGTTGGGCTCTTCCATTTAATCGGCCGGGAATTCCTGATCATAGTCATAATGAATGAAAGAAAAATGAAGGATTCTTTTTCCAGATTCCAAGAGTGCCACTGTCATTATATTCCTGAGGAGACAGGTGGTAGATAAGGAGAGAATGTCTTCCTCCTCTCTTCTTGAAACAATTTCAGTAGCCATAACTGACTAAAAAACAAATACAGTCATTGATATAGAGATCACAGAAAGTAAATCCACTATATGAGAACAGGTATTACCCTAAGAGTTAAATCAGTAAAAATGCATAATAGAAGAGTTTAGGGGCAGGCACCTGCAGAAGGAATCCACCCTGAGGGATTATCTCCAAATGGACGTGTAGGGTGTGTGTGTGTGTGTGTGTGTGTGCGTGCGCGCGTGCGTGTGCTTGCGTGTGTGCGTGTGTCTGTGTGTGTTAGCGAGTGTGTGTGCGTGTGTCTGTGAGTGTTTGTGTCTTTGTGAGTGTGTGCGCCTGTGTCTGAGTGTGTGCACACATGTCTGTCTGTGAGAATGCGTGTGTGCGTGTCTGTGTGTGTGTCTGTGTCTTTGTGAGTGTGTGCGCGTGTGTCTGAGTGTGTGCACACGTCTGTGTGTCTGTGAGAGTGCGTGTGTGCGTGTCTGTGTATGTGTGTGTGTCTTAGTGTGCATGTCTGAGTGTGTGAGTGTGTGCGTGTGTGTCTGTGTGAGTGTGTGTGCATGTCTGTGAGTGTGCACACGTGTGTTTCTGACAGTGTGTGTGTCTGAGTGCGTGTGTGTCTGTGAGTGTGCATGTGTGCATGTGTCTGTGAGAGAGAGAGTGTGTGTGTGTGTGTGTGTGTGTGTCTCTGATATTCTAGTACATTCCAGTTTTGGAGCAAGGGTAGCTCATTAAGTTCTTTTGACACTTGGTTGATATAATCCCTTAGCATCATTCAGTTATATTTGATTTTGTATTCATCAAGCAACCTCTGCTTATTAATTCAGTTCCATGTGGTAGATTGATGCCTAAATAGCTATAACTATTTCTCTCCCCGTATCTGGGCCCACATGCAATATGACTTTGCAACTCATCCCCTCAAAGGGTAGAAACTATTTCTTCACCCCGTTGAACCTAGGCTCGCCTTGTAATTGGTTTTGGCCAATAGAATGTGGTGGAAGTGATGGTGTTACCAGAACGGGGTTCCAATCCAGACTCCAAAAGAGGGTTCTTGGATTTTGTGCAAGAAAGAATTTGAGGTAAGTCCGTAAAATGAAAGCAAGTTTATTAAGAAAGAAAAGAATGGCTACTCCATAGGCAGAGCAGTGGCATAGGCTGCTTAACCGAGTAAATTTATGGTTATTTCTTGATTATATGCTAAACAAGGAGTGGATTATTCAAGAGTTTTCCAAGAAAGGGGCAGGCAATTGCTGGAACTAAGGGTTCCTTTCCCTGTTAGACTATGTAGGGTAACTCAGACATTGTCATTGCATTTGTAAACTGTGATGGCACTAATGGGAGTATCTTTCAGCGTGCTAACACATTGTAATTAAAGTATAAAGTATAATGAGCAGTGACAATGACAAGAGGTTACTTTCATCCCCATCTTGGTATTGGTGAGTTTTTGCTGGCATCTGACCACATCCTGTTTTATCAGCAAGGTCTTTATGACCTGCCTCTTGTGGTACTAGTCCTGCCAACTTTCTATAGCATCCTTTGACTAAGAATGCCTAACCTGGGAATGCAGCCCAGTAGGTCTCATCCTCACTTTACCCAGCCTCTTTCCAAGATGGAGAAACTAACAATAGTGTGTCTGTTCTAAGCCTAGTCATCAAGAGGCCTTGAATGCTTAGCTCTTCCTCTCTCTTTCTCTCTGAACCCTGAACAACCCCATGGGGTCACACTCAGGCCAACCTGTTCAGTGATGAGAAATGAGGCCTGTTGACTCCTGTTACTCTGGTTGATGGCCAGACAACACCAGACATGTGGGGGGTGGGCCTTCTTTGATCAGCCAGCCTGTAATCCAACCACTGGCTGACCATAAAGGCCTGAGAAAGCCCAGGAGAGATTAACTGAGCCTAGTCCAGATCGTCGGAACTTTCTAGCTGATCTTAGATACATGAAGAAAAAACAAATGATTACTTGTTTTAAGTCTGATTTGCATCCATTGAAATGCAAAGAAAAAGTCTCTGAGTTTTGCATGGTTGTTACACAGTAAGAGCTAACTGCTATTAGGAGAGTATCCTGATGTGAGTGTTTTGACTAATAGAAAATTCTGTTCTATTAAAATAAAGACATTATACATTAGAAACAGAAACCTGGGCATTCTAGTATGTGTTTTAGGATCTTATAAGTCATCTGGCGTGAAAGTTTTGGAGAACATGAATAACTTTGAACAGAGCTAAATTTCTGGCTTTCAAGATAGACCATCAGAGCCTAGACAAAGGACTTTCAAATCACTCCACCTGGAATTGCCAGCATGAGCATGAGGAGAATGCCATTCAGATCTACTGTGAATAAAATGTCATAAAATTTAAGTCACCAATTCCCCATTACCTCTTAGTTTACATGACAGAGGGTGGTTTTCTCTTAGAGTATCTTTAATTTCTCCTGCATTGCTTCTCACCTGCTAGCTGCTGTGAGTTCTCTAACAGTTCCTTTCTTAACCTGGGTCTTCCACACTGTTGGTCTGTGTCCATCACCTCTCCTCAGGGAAATGAAGAGGGGTTATGCACAAAAGTACCTGTCATAAGGGAAGCTGGAAAATAGCAACTTTTAACTGCCTTCTTCCATGCTTTTTGTGACCAGTTCTGACCTCCTTATATTTTCGTTTGGGTTTTGCCCTCAGTTTTGTTGTGAGGAATTTGGCTGGGCTTAATGCTTGCGGCAGAGGGAGAGGCACAGGTAGGCCCAGTCCCACTCTCCTGTGAGAAGCCAGTCTGTCTTATGCTGTGGCTGAGTCTCATTATGGCCATTGCTGCTGGGCTGGCCGATCATTTGAAAGTAGAATGGAGGCCTCTGGGATTCACTAATGACACCTGGGGAGATGGAACAGAGTTTACTGTCTTGGAGCATCATTGTGAAAGTGTGCCTGCCTGTGTCCTGCAAGAAGTGACAGATTTCTTTCCCCTCATAAATGCTAAGAGTACAACCAGAATTCTTGGGATATCCATACAGGAAAATAAGCAGGATTAAGATTTTTAAGATTTGGTTTATAAAAGTATAGAATCTCCAGTGAGAATTCCCAAAGTGCCGGAGGGGAACAAGAGGAACAAGGGCTGAAATGCTACCTATTGGGTACCAAGTTTGCTACTTGGGCGATCATTAGAAACCAAAATCTCAGCATCACCTAATATACCCATGGAACAAACCCCCTAAATCTAAAATTTAAAAAATAAAGCTTTAAAAATAAAAAAGCAAAAAGAAATCACTGAAAATTTTATTAGTGTACATTTAGCCAAAGTTAAAACCAAAGTTAAAAGTTTTAAGTGTCGAAATTGCGTTATTTCAATAGGTAATTCCTATTAAAAATAAAAATGAAAAAATAAGATGTCTAGAAACTTTGAGGATATTTTTGTAACCCCACACTTTTTCCTTTTCAGAGTCAGAGCACTAGAGCAAAATGAATCCTGGAACGGGAATGGAATGCTTGGATTTGGAAGACCCAGTGTAAGGAAGCGTCACAGTTGGGAAGCATCCTGGCTGTGCCATGGTAAAGGTATGCCTCATGGCAAGTTATTTAGCTTTTCTGAGATTTCATGAAGTGAGAATGGTATTAAATTTCTCACAGGATTAAGTAATTTAAACATATGTAATTCCTAGCCTGAAACCTGGAGCAACTAACTTGATAAATGTTAGTCCTCTTTTTGCCTTTTTTGCCTTTTTGTTTTATTATTGTTTGCTTGCTTGCAGATGTATGTTTTTACGCTATAGAACAAAGGATGAGTTTTTTAGAAAGCAAGATGACATTTATACAAAAGTCTTTAAACTGTATTTTTTACCTAATAATTCCCTTTATGTAAATGTGTGCTAAAATAATGGTTGAAACAAAAAAATACAGAGCTATAGACATGGCAGTCCATCATTGCTTCAAATACGTCCTTCCTGGACATTTTGCCGTTTGCCTTATTTTAAAAAGCACATACTTTCTTCATCCTTATTTTTAAAAATCATTTATTTGTGTTATTTGCATCTTATTTTCCTATTAATGTTTTGATGTAGTCAGATTATTTTCTTCCTCAAATCATTAAAAAAAAAGACCAGTTAAGCCCCCTGGGCCTAACATGAATCACCGCCTTCTGAAAAAAAAAAAAAAGTCAGTCTTATATCTTTAATCTATGCAGACATTTTCCAGGAGAAGCAAAATGCTGGATTGTAACTCCTTTTGCATGTTCATGCATCTATGGAGAGATATTTCATAGTAATAACTATGCCAATCTTTCATAATATTTAGTCAAAGCAGAGTACACTAAGAAAACAGTCAAAAAAGCGCTCAAAGTAGAGGAAAGGGGACTTGTCTTGACTGGTTAATTGTTGCAGGCTTGAAGTAGAAAGTTTGTGAAAACTCTCCTAATTGCTGACTAACCGCCATTATCTGCTTCTGTGTGCTTGCTTCCTGCTTGCTAACCAGGAAGTCCCTGGAGAAACTGCCACATTGCCTAAAAGCTTTAATTACTCCTCCTACCCCAACCTATAAAAGCTATGTGCTGTTCCAGGCCGGGGTCCAAACCTTTGGTACGAACCCTTCTGGGCCCACTGGAGGGAAGCTGGGTTCCTTCAACCCTCTGAGTGCCACTTTGGTTTTTTGTCAGGTGAAATTCTTCCACAACAGGCTCATCCTTATATTGGGTTCTTTCAAAATGGGTTGCTTTGACAAAACACCCTAAGTAAGCTTTTTCATCTTCCGTTTTCTGAACATGAAACTGAAGCCCCAGTATTTCAAATGGCTTGAAATATGGACCATGAATTTGAACAAAGGGCTGCTTGACTTTGAAATCTGTATTCTTGTTTCTATTCCCAGCTGCATCCAAGGCAGTGATTCTTACCCTTGGCTACACATTGGAATCATCTGGGAAGCTTAAAAAAAAAATAACAATGCCTGTGACGTGGGCAAGATGGCTGAATAGGAACAGCTCTGGTCTGCAGCTCCCAGCAAGATCAACACAGAAGGCATTTATAAAGTTTATAGGGTATTCAAATAGGAAGAGAGGAAGTCAAATTGTCTCTGTTTGCAGATGACTTGATTGTATGTTTAGAAAACCCCATCATCTCAGCCCAAACTCTCCTTAAGCTGATAAGCAACTTCAGCAAAGTCTCAGGATACAAAATTAATGTGCAAAAATCACAAGCATTCTTATACACCAACAATAGACAGAGAACCAAATCATGAGCAAACTCCCATTCATAATTGCTACAAAGAGAATAAAATGCCTAGGAATTCAACTTATAAGGGATATGAAGGACCTCTTCAAGGAGAACCGCAAACCATTGTTCAAGGAAATAAGAGAGGACAGAAAAAAATGGAAAAAAGTTCAATGCTTATGGTTAGAAAGAATCAATATCATGAAAATGGCCATACTGCCCAAAGTGATATATAGATTCAATGCCATCCCCATCAAGCTACCATTGACTTTCTTTACAGAATTAGATCAAAACTAGTTTAAATTTCTTATGGAACCAAAAAAGAGCCCACATAGCCAAGACAATTCTAAGCAAAAGGAACAAAGCTGGAGGCATCACACTACCTGACTTCAAACTATGCTACAAGGCTACAGTAACCAAAATAGCATGGTTCTGGTACCAAAACAGAGATATAGACCAATAGAACAGAACAGAGGCCTCAGAAATAATGCACATCTAAAGCCATCTAATCTTTGACAAACCTGACAAAAATAAGCAATAGGAAAGGGATTTCCTCTTTAAGAAATGGTGTTGGGAAAAATGGGCTAGCCATATGCAGAAAATGGAAACTGGACCCTTTCCTTATACCTTATATAGAAATTAACTCAAGATGGATTAAAGACTTAAACATAAGACCTAAAACCATAAAAACCCTAGAGGAAACCCTAGGCAATACCGTTTAGGATATAGGCATGGGCAAAAACTTCATGACTAAAGCACCAAAAGCAGTGGCAACAAAAGCCAAAATTGACAAATGGGACCTAATTAAACTAAATAGCTTCTGCACAGCAAAAGAAACTATCATCGGAGTGAACAGGCAGCCTACAGAATGGGAGAAAATTTTTGCAATCTATCCATCTGACAAAGGGCTAATATCCAGAATCAATAAAGTACTTAAATAAGTTTACAAGAAAGAAACAAACAACCCAATCAAAAAGTGGGTGAAAGATATGAACAGACACTTCTCAAAAGAAGGAATTTTTGCAGCCAACAAACATGAAAAAAGGCTCATCATTACTGGTCATTAGAGAAATGTAAATCAAACCACAATGAGATACCATCTCATGCCAGTTACAATGGTGATCACTAAATAGTCAGGAAACGAGATGCTGGAGAGGATGGAGAGAAATAGGGATGCTTTACATTGTTAGTGGGAGTATAAATGAGTTCATCCATTGTGGAAGACAGTGTGGTGTTTCCTCAAGGATCTAGAATCAGAAATACCATTTGACCCAGCAATCCATTATTGGCTATATACCTAAAGGATTATAAATAATTCTATAAAGACACATGCACACGTATGTTTACTGCAGCACTGTTCACAATAGTAAAGACTTGGAACCAACCGAAATGTCTCTTAGTGATAGACTAGATAAAGAAAATGTGGCACATATACACCATGGAATACTATGTAGCCATAAAAAAGATGAGTTCATGTCCTTTGCAGGGACATGGATGAAGCTGGAAGCCATCATACTCAGCAAACTAACACAGGCACAGAAAACCAAACACTGTATGTTCTCATTCATAAGTGGTTGTTGAACAATGAGAACCCATGGACACAGGGAGGGGAACATCACACGCTGGGGCCAAACAGGGCATGGGGGGCTTTGGGACGGTTAGCATTAGGAGAAATACCTAATGTAGATGATGGATTAATGGATGGTGTATATGTATGTAACAAACCTGCACATTCTGCACATGTATCCCAGAACTTAAAGTATCATTAAAAAAAATAACCATTCCCATCATAATACTAAATAAGGAGAACAAAATTGGAGGAGTCACACTACCCGACTTCAAGACTTACTGTAAGACTTCAGTAATTGAGATAGTATTACACCGGTGAACAGATGGGCACATAGGTCAGTGGAACAGAATAGAGGGCCCAGAAATAGACACACCCAAATATAGACAATTGATCTTTGACAAAGAGCAAAGGCAATTCAGTGGAGAAAGGATAAGCTTTTCTACAAATGGTGCTGGCACAATTGAAAGTCCATATGTACAAAGAAAACAAACCTAGACACAGACCTTACACTTTCACAAAAGTTAACTCAACATGGATCATACATCTAAATGCAATATACAAAACTGTAAAAGTGTTAGAAGAAGACATAGGAGAAGAGCTATGTGACCATGGTTTGATAATGAGCTTTTGGATATGTGACCTAAAGCATGATTTATGAAAGAAAAAGTTGATAAGCTAGATGTTATTAAAATTAAACATTTATGTTCTGTGAATGACACTGTTAAGAAAACCAAAAGCCAAACCACAGACTGGGAGAAAATATTTGCAAAACACATATCTGATACAGTGCTTGTATCTGAAATGTACAAAAAACTCTTAAAACTCAACAATAAGAAAGGAATCAAATTTTAAAATGGTCAACTGAACAGATACCTCACCAGAGATGATATACAGATGAAAAATTAGCATGTGAGAAGATATTAAACATCATTTATGATTAGGGAATTGCAAATTCCAATAATGAAATACCATTACATATCAATCAAAATGACTAAAATTTTAAAAAAACCTGACAACATCAATTGCTGACAAAGATGTGGAGAAACAGAAAGTTCCATTCATTGCTGGTGAGAATGCAAAACAGTACAGCCACTTGGGAAGACAGTTGGGCAATTTCTTACAAAGCTTAACATAGTCCTCCCATACTATCTAGTAATCAAATACATTTACTGATTTGAAAACTAAGTCATTTACTTGAAAACTTCTTTCCATACAAAACCTGCATGTGAATGTTTGTAGCAGTTTTATTCATCATTGCTAAAACTAGAAGCAACCAAGATGTCCTTCAATAAGTGATGGACAAACTGTGGTACATCTATACAATAGATTATTATTCAGCAATAAAAGAAAATGACCTATCAAGCCAAAAATAGACATGGATGAATCTTAAGTACGTCTTGCTAAGTGGAAGAAGCCAGTATGATAAGGCTACACATTATATGATTCAAAGTCAATGACATTCTGAAAAAGGCAAAACTATAGAGATAATAAAAACATTAGTAGTTCCCAGGAGCTTAGAGAAAGGGGGAGAGGGTTGAATAAGGGAAGCAGAGGGGATTATTTAGGACAATTAAACTATTCTATATAATACCGTAATCATGGTTATATAACTTTATGCATTTGTCAAAACCTGTAGAACTTTATAACATGAAGAGTGAACTTTAATGTATGCAAATCTTTAACAAATCAGTTAAGGGATTGGAAGATTCCAGGATGAAATGCAAAATTATGAGAAAACAAGCTAACTGTATCACAGATGTATTAAAAACAACCTCACTGAAAAATGTGAAGGAAAATTGGTGCTGACCTAAACAGCTTTAGAAATAAGTGGAGTCTATAAGACTGAAGGCTATAAAGGAGCCTATAACATAAGCATTCTACTCTAGCTGATAAAGTTGCTTCCTGTGGAAGTACAGGTTAGCAATTCTGACACTGCTATACATGCATACCGGAATAGAGCAATTAAGTGAATGGATGGACAATGGTGAGAGCCAAGTGTCTCACTGTTGGTGTGAAAGGTTACAGATAAGAAAAGGAGGCTGGAATCATCTACAAGGTAATGGATTAGTGTTGGAGATATCATATCAACTCCTATTAGCTTAATATAGATATCGATGGTTACATATAGAAATATGTACAGATAATGTATTTTTATATATGGGTTAGCATACACACGCACATATTTCCTTGCTCTGCCAGCTGAGAGGGCCTAGAATTAATGACACCCCATCAGCAACGAGTATACCTAGCACCAGGATCTTGGTTTCTAATATTATTCTCCAACTAAATGAACCACAACTTGGATGACTGTCTGATTCTAGGATGAGAGAAGACAGTATAGAAGGTGTGCATGGAGCATCTTGTATGCTAAAAAGTAAGAAAGTTCCAGGAAAAAAAAACACACACAAAACAATGGGGATATGTCAAAGGGTCATGGAGCCAACTTCAAGAACTACTGGTGGCCAGAGTTGGAACATTTGAGCGACGAAATAAATACAGTACTTTAGTATAGAATTGAAACCCAAAACAGAAAATAAATATGTGTATCCATGCATATATGATGTGACTACATTGTTGAATAAATAAATAAATGTAGGATAGGCAAATTTCCTGTGCTAAGTAATTCTGATTTATGTGGATATTCTGCTCTCAAGAAAGTAGAACATAACTCTCCCATTCCTTAAGTGTGGGTTAAACTAGTCATTTTATTCCAAAGAGTGCAATATGGAAAGGGGGAAAAAAGAGTAACTTTATACTACAGAAAGCTGACATACATTACTTTAGCCAGATGATCAAGGTCAACATCAAGTGCCCTTGATCAGATGTGATGAGAATGGCACTTTACTTCTATGGTATTCCTCACAAAAGCACGTAATCCCAATCTAATCATGAGGAAAACATCAGACAAACCCCAACTGAGGGACATTCTGCAAAATATCTGATTAGTATTCCTCAAAAAAGTCAAGGGCATCAGAAACAAGGAAAATCTGAGAACTGTTACAGCCAAGAAGAACCTAAGGACACATGAAAACTAAATGTAATGAAGTATTCCAGATGGAATCTTGGAAAAAGAAAAAGGATATTAGGGAAAATCTAAAGACACGTAAATAAAGTATAGACTTTGGCTAATGGTAATGTATCAGTATTGGTTCATTAATTGCAGGAAATGTGCCAGGCCCATATAAAGTGTTATTAATAGGGGAAACTGCATGTGGTATATATGGAACTTTCTGTCTTACCTTTGCAGTTTTTCTGTAAACCTAAAACTGTTCTAATATAAAGCATTTATTTTAAAATATATATATATAATGCCTGAGTACCACCCCAGAAATACTGATTTACTTAATCTGAGGTGTGTCCTGACCCTTGGGACTTTTAAACACCTCCCAGGTGGTTCTAATTTGTCTCCAGCAAACCACTACTCTTTCTTCCTTCTGCTTTTTTGTTTAATTATAATAAATGCTCTGACCTTATTCCTGATAAAAATAGCAGTATGCCTTAATGATTTTGGTTGTTTGAATGCAGCAGTTCTTTAAATGTACAGCCAGCGATATGGAACTTAGTGATATTTCCCATTAAATAGAAAATCTTGTCCAAGAAGCTTAAAATGCCTTAAAGAGTTTAGGTAAAGAGACAGGGAAGGGCAGTTTATGCTAAATATATTGTCAGTTTATATTGTATGTGGTAGAAATGGCTTTATTTTCTCTCTGTCATGCTATCCCATATGTACTTAGAGATGAGACATCTCCTAAATTTTAGGTGCAAAGCATTTAGTTTTAATTAGGTAGTAGATTTATTTTCCAGAATTTGATTGTGACAAATGAGATAAAAGTATTACCTCCTGGCAAATAAAACATAAAGGTTCAGGAACCACAAACTGAACCAAGCCATCTATTTTTCTCCTGCAGGGAAGGTGGCAGTCTGGGCTCCTGGTGATTGTATCTGGTGCTGGAGAAGATTGGCTCCCACAGTCAGTGAGAAAGGAATTTTACTCACCCAGCACCCATATGAACTTCAGTGAGAAGAGAAGGTGGAGAGGTCAAGGAGCCTTGCTTTTTCACTTGCAATTATGGCACTTCCTTTGGAAATGGTAAGACTATATTTTTAGACTTACACTGTTAACTTAAAATCCTAACAGGTCAGGAAGATGGCTTTATGCACATTAAGGCATGCAAAAGATTTATTTTTCCTATCATTTTTCTTCCTCAAATAGTCATTGTAGGAATTCTTGCTTTTTATTAACACCTCTTAAGAATATTAACAGACCAGAAAACATTTGTCAATTGGGTGTTACACTATGTTGGCACTGAAGTAGATATTTTAAAGTTTAAAAATATGTAACAGTGGCTTTTTATTCATTCATCCGAGCAATATTTACTTGAATGCATATCATACATCAGGGTTCTGCTAGGTACTGGAGATTTTAAAAAAATAATAAAGCAAACCAAAAAAACTAAGTGAGATCGGGTCTCCTTTCTTAAGTTGTCCTCAGTCTAAAACCTTATTGTTTAGGTCAGTGGTTCTCAATCCAGGGTGATTTTGGCCCCCAGAGGACATTTGACAGTTTCCTGGAGAAATATTCAAATACTGCTACTGGGAGGGATGGGGGATGCTATGGAATCTAATGAGTAGAAGCCAGCGATGCTGCTAAGCATCCTATAAAATACCATTCAGCCCCCAACAATTGGATTATGAGATCCAAATGTCAATAGTGTCCAAGTTGAGAAATCTGCAAACCCACTGGGCTCTTCCTTAAACAGAGAGCACTTTCACCATGTGTGAATTAAACAAAGCAAGCTTTAAAGCCACCTTCTGCCCTGCTTCTACCAGGTGGGTTTGGAATATTGAAGGGTCCCTACTAGCTGAGGGGAGAATAAATGTTATCGTCATTTAGAACATTTAGTCTTGTTATACTCCCCAGTCTCTCAGGTGGGGCATGGTGGTGGCCCTGTTCAGCAGAAGGTCAGCTATTCTGTCATGAGCCCAGGCCAGAGACATGTCCTGTTAAATAAGTCTGCCCCAGAGAGAGGACATGAGACTTCTCCTCTTTGTTGGGAGCAGCCAAGCTTCTATATTCAAGGCCGGTTAAGTGCAAGTCCTTTCAAACCGTATTACTGAAAGATAATGACAGTCTTACAATTTAAACGTAATATTTGCACCTAAATTGAAACTACCATCAAAATTTTGCATTGTTTTGCTTCTGTGTAAGTACTAACTGCAAAGTCTAAAGGAAAGAAGTAACCTTACAATCATGCTGTTCAGTGTAGCTACTAGCCACATGCTGCTGTTTAAATTAGTTGACATTAAATAAAATTTAAAATTTTATTCTTCAGTGGCACTAGTCAATTGTAAGCATCCACTAGCCATGTGACTACTGGCTACTGAATTGGACGGTGTGGGTACAGGACATTTCCATCATCACAGGAAGTTCTGTTAGACAACATTGTCCTAGAAGTCTCCATTTCAAAGGCTTCTTATCAATATGCACAGTTATTTCTAAAAAAAAAAAAGGCTTGTTTCCTAGCAGCTGAGACACTGGGGCAATGCTTTGCATTCTCTCATTATGATTGTCTGTTAGAAAGGCACAGACATGTTCTGCTGGGGGGACCATCTTTCTTCTGACATGGAATTTTTCTGAAGGGTTTATGTAATGGATGTGGGATAAGGTGTCAGATGATTGAAACTATGATTTTTCCAGAAGATATAACAATGTAAAATTCAAATAGGTGACTCCTGTAAGACATTTCTGATCTAACTCAAGTATGTATTGTTAAATATTAATTCCATTAAAGTATGTCAGCAGGGAATTAAGATATGTGACCCAAATCTATTTCTTTTTAGTAGCTAGGTATAATAGAGAAGTAGCACTCAGTGGATCTCAACTGAAGAAGAGGTGGGGTAAAGGGAGGAGGGGAGGTTCAGAATATTTGGAAAAGATTCTCCATGTTATTCTAATGTACCTAATCCAGGTAAGTATAGTTTAGAGATATGGAAAGGACAATTGATTTACCTTTTACTGCTGTATGATTGGGGGAGGGGGAAAAGTTGTGACTTTTAAAATCCCTCCCTTTAGTGGGGCCTAGACATCCCCTCCATTCTCTCTTGCTGTCTTTCCTTTCAGTGACCCACCTGTCTACCCTTCTTACCTGGTTATTTAGGATAATCAACTGGCTTTAGAACAATGGCCTTAGGCAGTTTTTTCCGGTATCAAGAGCCTCCAGCAAACTTTTGCAAGCTGTATATCACAATCTTTTCTCGGCTGCATTTTTTATTCAGTGCTTACTGGTCAAAGCAAGTGTCTTATGCACAGAGGATGCATTAGCCAGAGAGGACACTCAGAAGAAATTCAAGAATCCATTTAGTTTTGTTGTTCAGGGTGAAAGGCACCCCACTTCCACAGAGAGGTGGTCTATGGGTGTGTGAGCAGGGCTAAAACTGTTCTAAAGGAACTGTTCAAGCCATTGACTAACTATTCAGGTAGAGGACCCAGAGTTTGGTCATAGAGCTTTACCCACTTTTGTTAATGTTAGAAGGCCATTACTAGCCATACAGAAACCTATCAGTACATCAGAATGAGACCTTGTTCAGCTGATAGGTACAAAACGTCAACACTCTTCCCTCTTACCCCTATTTAAGTCTTGAAATTTCACATCAAATTTTCAAGATGTGTTAATCCTGAATGGGTTGATGTTTTTTACTTTCATTTTCTCAAGTTGATTTAGAATAGCTTTACTACATTCTTTGTTTTCATTTCTGGTTTCATATTTTCTCCTGGTAGAAATTTACTTTTCCCCCATAATATATAAAATGTTGATCACTTTAGCTGGGCATGGTGGCGCGTGCCTGTAATCCCAGCTACTCAGGAGGCTGAGGCAGGAGAATTGCCTGAACCCAGGAGGCGGAGGTTGCAGTGAGCCAAGATCACGCCATTGCACTCCAGCCTGGGTAACAAGAGCGAAACTCTGTCTCAAAAAAAAAAAAAAGTTGATCACTTAGAGTTTTTAAAAAAATAAGGTGGAAGTCACATCATTGCATAACCATCCAGAATATACATTCTTTTTGGTGGCATGATGTCCAACATATGACATTAGGGAAAAAAATCCCACCACCCCCAGAAAATGTCCAACCTTAGCTTCCTCCTCCTTTTAAGGACATAAGAGCCTGGTGGTTGATGATGCAAGAGATAAAACCGTGAAGAGACTGAAGAAACTAGTTCATCAATTGTTGAGATTCCATTTCTAAAACATCTTAGTGTATATTTTTTCTTTGAGTCTGCCTATGCCTATGCCTGGGATGTCAAGAGCTATGAATTGCCTTAAGGTTCAGGGAGCCATTAAGGTTTGTCTTCTCAAGGTATTCAGCTAGAGAGGGATGTGGATCTTAAAACCATGTAGAATTTGGGCTTAACAGATTCATGAATACCTTGAAAAGAAGGCAGGAAAGCATGAAGAAAGAACACTAGAATGTCCTACTGAAAACTGCATCATCCATCAGTAAATATCGAGTGTCTGTCATGGGCCAGGCCCAGTGCAATATAATGTGTTGGTGTAACATGAGAAAAAATATATATTTGGTCTTTGTCCCAGTTTCTGGCACAGAGCTCCTAAAACTTTTGGAAATTCCTGAGTGATAAAGTATCTTTTGCATGCTAATGAGGTGACTAAAGAGGGCAGTGCTAAGTTAGCTTCAGGATAAGGGTTGGTCACCAGAGGAGCCAACCACCTGATTAGAGGATTAGAATTGTCATCTCTGCACTGCCTTCTTCCCCACTCCAGACAGGGGAGAGGGGCTGGAGATTGGGTTCAATCACCAATGGGCAATGACTTAGTAAATTGTGTCTATGTGGTAATGATGGTTCCATAAAAACTCTGAAGCAATAAGGCTCAGGGAGCCTCCTGGTTGTTGAGTACATTGACATAATGGCAGGGTGCTTACCCAGAAAGGGCATGGAAGAGCTGTGTCCCCTCCCTGCCCTATTACCTTGCCCTATGCATCACTTCCATTTGGATGTTTCTGAATTATATCCTTTATAATAAAAGTATAATTGAAAGTAGAGAGCTTTCCTGAATTCTGTCAGTCATTCTAGCAAACTATTGAACCTGGGGAGAGGTTGTGGAAACCCCCAAATTTGTGGTAGACTGGGAAGAAGTGCAGGTAGCCTAGAGACATCATGTACAGCTGGCATCTAAAGTGAGGGCTTCTTATGGAACTGAACCCTTACTGTGTGGGGTCTAGGCTAACTCTGAGTAGCTAGTGTCTCAATCAAGTTGAATTGTTGCCAACCAGTTGGCTTCAGAGTGAGGCAGGAAAATGGGGTCTGGTAGCAGGGAACATAAGGCCAATTCACACTTCAGCTGTGCCAGGAAATACCCTCTCCATAGGGTGTATGCTGAGTAAATGACTTTGTCACTTTACTTCATCTCTCCATTTATGTAGGGCTTATACCAAGTAACCAATGGAATCTTCTGGAGGGTATTTAAACTCCCCAAAATTCTGCAACAGGGCCTTTGAGCTCCTATGCTCAGGCCAGCTCCCACACTATGGAGTGTACTTTCATTTTTAATAAATTACTTCATTCCTTCCTTGCTTTATGCATTTTGACCAATGCTTTGTTCAAGATGCCTAGAACCTGGACACCCTCCACTGGAGGATGAATCAGATAATTTGTTGGTACTGGAATGACATAGCTGGGATTAAAATGGTGAACAGGAGTAGACATTTTTCTACTCTCAAAATTTATAAATAGTATGCCAATGAGTTTGTTGGAGTTATTTAGCACTCTGCTGTATATTGTCCTATCACCCCCTCCAAATCTACTCCCCCTGGTCTTTAGAGGCTGACCCTCATAGAACACAGTAATGGACATTCTTCTTTCTGTCTGTAGTTGGGTTTGATCAATGGGGTGTCCTGGGAGGAAATTGAAGGGACCCAGGTAAGTGAACTCAGGGTATTGATTCACCTCACTCACTCCTTGGAAGCCCACCTTGGGCGGTATCTCCTTTCTAGGCAGTCCTCTCAACAAGGCTTTCTCCTTCCCAGTCTGGAAACTCCTCCTTGTCTCCTTGTGCATAAGGGTGGTGTAAGCACTTCAGCTTCTAATCTTTAGTTTTTGCCTGCAAACCCTTGTGGTTCTATTACATCCTGTATACACCCTTGTAAAAAGTTTCTTATTAAATAAACCTTCTTTGAATTATCCTAAGATGAGTGTTCTGTCTCACTGAGATCCTGACTGATACAAGCATTATCTATTTAAATGTTGGATGTATGCTTGCAAAGTATGTTGAGTTTTGTTTTAGTATATTTGACGCGGAGCCAGCTGTTCAGCTACTTAAGAAGGTGACCCTGGTTTGTAATGATAAAATTGTATTATGGAGTAGGATGTTTATCATCCTATTTCCTTTGGCAGGAAAGTATATATTCATTGAGGTACAGAGAAGGGGAGCTAGAACATTAGTTCTGTTTTATAGCATTTAGAATTACAATTTTTGTTGCCAAAATGTTCTTCTTATCCATTATGATTCTGACATTAATACAATATTCCAGGCTTTGAAGATGCATTAATAGTTTGGGATTTTACCAAGATGATACATGCTGATGAGAGGTTGATAAATGTTGCAAAAAGTCCTTCTTATTAACTGTTTTATAGGCGAGATGGTACAGGATAGTAACGCTCAAAAATTTAATGGTTTTGCCTAAAATATGTTACCTTTCATGAAAAACATTTGAGTGAGAGAGAGCCCAGAAACGAGTTGTGAAGAGAGCACAAAATATGTGCTTTTATTGTTTGTTTGACAGAGGTGGAGAACCACATCATGAAATTTACATTTGTTATTGATCTTTTTGCCTGAACCCACCCTAGTACCTCCATTAGCATCTGTTAGAAGTCAGTTTTTCCAGATGATAAATTTCTTTTACAAAGAAATGAACTGTGAGTTTGTAGCCTTTCACAGGAGACTATGAGCCTCTTTCCTTCTTATTTTGCTTACTAAAGTCATTACTGAAATATAAATTTGGGTGGCTAGATGGGATAATCAAAGCTGGTTTCAACCCGTCTATAATCCACTGATCTGTAGATTAGACAGAAAGCTTCTCAGAAGATGGTACCCGTGTACCTCTCGAGAATTGGAGAGAGGCTGCCTGCATAATTGATCACTAACCTTTATAGATAAAAGCAATTTCAAAGACCATCTACCTGCTAATGCTATAGATGAGGAGACTGAGACCCTGAGATACAAAAAGACTTACCCAGGAACGCAGCTGTATTAGTTTGTCAGGGTTGCCATAATAAAGTATCACCAACTGGGTGACTTAAGCCAGAGGACTTTACTGTTTCACAGTTCTGGAGATGGAGAATCCACAAGTCAGGGGGTTGGCACAGGGGTTCCTTCTGAGGGCTGTGAGGAAAGGACATGTTCCAGGGCTCTCTCTTTGGCTTGTAGATGGCCATCTTCTCTCTGTGTCTTTTCACATTATCCTCCCTCTTTGCATGTTTGTATTTAAATTTCCTTTTCTTAGAAGGACACCAGTCATATTGGATTAGGGCTTACTCTAATAACCTTATTTTAACTTGATTGACCCTGTAAAGACCCTCTCTTTCAAAGAAGATCACATTCTGAGTACTGAGGGTTAGGACTTCAACATACGAATTTTATGGTGGATGCAGTCCAATCCCTAAGCACATCAACTGTCTGAAAACTGACCAGAATCTTGGTCCTCTGAGGCTCTTGTTCATTTTTTTCTTATCAAATGACTGTGCCTTTTAATATTCTTGTTCCTGTTACTACAGAGAGCATTCCCTCTTTCGCAAACCTAAGAGACAAGCTTGTGGTTAAAGCATCAACTTTTCTCAGACACATCAAACAATTCCATTTAGGGGAATATAAGGCCAAAGTAAATTTAGAGAAGTTATGATCCTTATTACTATAACCTGAACATACTCATTTTGGGGATAATGATGAACAATGAATTTTTTTATTATCACATGGCTGTTAATGTTGAATCTTTAGAGTTAGACATGAAATTCTCTCAGACTTATTTAATGAACGCAGTTTATATTATTAAATTGTGATGATAAATCAGTTTGCTGAGTTATTCTCTTCTTTGACTTGACTTTCTCTACCCCTGAAAAATAGCCTTCCAGGAAAGGAGCTTTCCTTTCTGGATGTCCTATGGATGAAGCTTCGGCAGGACTATTGTCAACCCAGGCATTTAATTCACCTGAAATTATGTTGTCAGCTCAGGGATACTTGAAGCATATAAAGTTTAGGAGGCAATGGAATCAGTGCCAGATATTTAGGGATATGTTTGCATACAGGTAGGGAGGCAATTATTATGTTGTACCAAGTGGTCTTTTCGGGAAGGTGAATCAAGACAAGATAAATAAGTTTTTAATTCATGTCAGGTGACTGAGGTCAGTGTAGCCTATCACCCTCACATCAACCAGAACTTCCTGGATTAAAGGTTGGAACAGAAGGAAAATAATAGAGTATTAAACTCTCCAGTAATGACTTCATTCTTCCCATTCTCACATGGCCTAAAATGCTGATTTTCAAGGAGGGGAACCTAATGCTGAGAGAAATAACATGATTAGTCCAAGAAAACAGTATACTCCCGCAATGTGCTTCTACCCCATATAGCAGCTGTAATGCAGGACTCAGGCGCTGTGAGCTAAGTGGCAGTTCTAACTCTCTAGCAATATTTACTAGAATATACCTAAGTTTGGGCCTTCCCTACTATACCAAGTCACAGACTATGTCTCTTGGTACTTAGAGGTAGTAGGTTTTAGGATATACACCTGCACTCCTCACCAGCAGTGTCTCCGAAAGCCCATCCCTTAGATGATCAGCCTTTCATATATGTCAAGAAAAGAAACTTTGATTAAGTGATGAAACACATTTGGAAAATGCCACATACTGCATCCCTTTCTTACATACTCATCACACATGTTAGAATATTGACAGCTTTGTAATGTCTGGCAATGAAAAAGCCATTTAACTTTCTTTAACCAGGTGTTTCCAAAAGTTATCTGATCACAGAACCATGTGTTCATGTAAAACCCGTAAGTTGCAAGCAACACATTTTAAGAAACCCTGTCTAAATTTTGCAGAAGTCAGGGAAAGATATACATTAACAAAGAATTTAGATCAGGTTTAGAGATGACAGAGCAAAAGATCTGTGGAGAGGTCCCTAGAGAACAGGTGAGTGATAATCCTTATCATCTGCCCCCAAACATTTCTGGTGGCTATTAACAGGAAGGGAATCCTAAGCTGGGCTGGGCAGGCTTTTCACACATTACAGTCTTTCCTCATTGTGGGGGTGTGGATGACTGTGTGAATGTATTTGTGTTTGACCTTGATAGTCAGGTGCTTTAGGAGAGAAAAAGAGCGCTGGGCTAATGATCAGAAGGTCTGGTGTGTTTTTGGCCTTTATCGTGAACTTGTGATGTGACATCTCAGCAGTCCCAGTGCTCCACTAGTTAGTGTGGATGCTGTTGTGCCACCTCCATTCATCTGCACCACACAGGCCTTTAGTGTCCAAAGGCCTCTCTGTTCACTTGGGACCTCAGCATATGCTGTCTGAAGGTGAAAAGGAAAAGGAGGATTTGGGGATTTTTGTCAGGCGATGACATAATGTCTACAGTGTTTTGATCACCGCAGGAGGAGCAGAGGGTTTGGTGCAAAGGGCCCTGCTGTTCCTGAGGGAGGTGTGAATGACTGACACCTGATAAAACCACGCAGCACAGCCTGATAGAGCCACTCAGAATGTTTCTAGTTAGATGCTGCTATAATGAAGACCCTTTGTTTTAAAACAAAAGAAACCACCTTGAACTTGGTTCAGGAAAAGAATACACTTTTAGGGTAAGACACTTAAGCATCAGATAAAATTTAAAGAATTTAAACAACCACATCTCAGGAAGGTTCAGAAGCGCAACACTGCAGGCTGCCTTTTTCTCTGTGTCTGTGTCTCATCTGTAATTCTTGGCAAAGAGAATTGTATAGCCCCAATTACTGGTCAAATGCCCACTCTAGTTCATTTAGCTGTAGCATAGCTAACAGCCGTGTCTCTCTCATTTTTCCTGTTAGAATCCCAATTTGTTCAGGAGAGTGTGACAATAGCTTGATATCAGGGAAGATAGATCCCACTCCAGTCCCAGAGGATGAATTGTGATAATCTAAACCGGTCATAGTAATCCCATTTCTCTTTATCAGTAATTGGTTGAGGGTGGCATTGTGACCTAGTTCTAATGTAGGAGATATAAATAGAAGTTAGTTGGATATGGTTCTGGGAAAGCTTTTGTCTTTCTTATTAAAAGGAACAACAGTTTTACCGGGCATGGCTTTTTCTCCTTCTCTGGGATTCAGGTGTGATGCCTGGTGATTCAGCAGCCACCTTGTAACCATGATGTGACAAGTATGAGGGGAAAGCTGTGTGCTAAGAAAAGAAAGCACAAAGGAGAACGAGCCAAGGTCCCTGTATGGCTGAACTGCTGCACTGACACTGGATGGCATACCTCATGATTTGTTCTTATTTGAGAAAAATAATAACCTATTTGTTGACATCACAGCGTACTTTAATAGGTTGTTGTTATTGTTGTCTTTACCTGCAACCAAAAACATTCCTAAGTGAGAAAATTATATAGTAAAAACATGGGTGCCAGGAGCCAACTCCTATGGCTCAGAGGATGATTCTCAGATCTCTAATGGGACAGAAGAAGAGATGGCACCTACCATGGTTAGCTATTCAAAAGTATCTACCAAAGCCACCCCAAAGTCTTGAAATCTCACCACTGCTTTAGAGCATAGAGAGAGAAACCCTGTTCTTTCTGCTGCACACCTGTCTTAGATACAATTAACTAATTAATTCTACTGATTTTTACTGACTCACATTATCTGCTTGACGTTTTTCTAGGTGCTGAGGATTGATTGGTGGAGACCGAGAGGATCTTGGCTCTGACTGAGCTCACATTCTGAAAGAGAAAATAGAAAATAACCATGAAACACAAATGAATGGGATCACTTCAGATATTGAAAATGTCTATAAGTAATAGAAAACAGTGTGTTATGATAGAGGATTGGGGAGGCTGTGTCCATGGAAGGCCTAGGAAAGTGATATTTCAATTGAAACTTGAGTTGCAAAGGGCAGCCCGCTGTGCAAGGCTGAGGACCAAGCGTTTCAGGAGGGAATGGTCAAGCCGGGAATGAGCATGGCCCGCTGAAGACCCAGAATGAACTGCTAGTGGTGCCCACTGCACAGGGCCTGGGGAGGCCACCCATGCTCATCTCATGGTAACGTGCCAGCAACTCAGCCCACTGGCATCATGATGAATCTCGGTGCTACTGCACAGGGCCTGGGGAGGCCACCCATGCCCATCTCATGGTAACGTGCCAGCAACTCAGCCCACTGGCATCATGATGAATCTCGGTGCTACTGCACAGGGCCTGGGGAGGCCACCATGCCCATCTCATGGGAACGTGCCAGCAACTCAGCCCACTGGCATCATGATGAATCTCGGTGCTGCTGCACAGGGCCTGGGGAGGCCCATGCTCATCTCACGGTAATGTGCCAGCAACTCAGCCCACTGGCATCATGATGAATCTCGGTGCTGCTGACTGGGCTTCTTGTTGCATAGGTGAACTGTCCCATCATCTGCTTGAGGCTGGCAGAGCTCAGGGGGTCAGACCACAGGGAGTGATCTATGTAGGAGAATCTCTGACCAGAGTGACTGATTCCCTCATGTTCTTTCCTTTTGAGAATTGATTCGTTATTCCAAGCTGCAGCTCCTATGCTCTCCAGAGGACTAGCTTCCCTTGGAATGGGGTCAGCCCTGCTCTGGAGGGACTGGGAGGGCATTCAGCTACCACACAGTTGCTGCAGGACCACGCTCCACTTACCCCCTCAAGTTATGACTGCCCCTGTTGACATTGTCTAGTGCTTGAGAGTCCCCTCTGTAGAGACCTTGCAGAGAGTCAGGAAGCCTGCTAGGGCCCTGCGCTGGTCATACCTGACATCAGTTTCAAGTGATACTTATCAGTGAAGCAGTCATATGAGATCACAAAGCTAGAAGCTCCTTCCAAGCTCACAATGTCCTACATTCCTCATGGGTCTGGCCTAACCCAGAACAAAAGTGTCAGTATGCTACCCCCTTCTAACAAGTTGCCTACGAAGTGGAATATCCACCCGGCTTGGTAGACAATCCAGTTTTCTTTTTCTCTAACACTTGAACTTGCTGGCCATTAGAATCACTATAATTATATTAGATGTTAGAGTTCCTGTGTGAGTGCTGGGATGTGAGGAACGTGATTGCTCAACTTAGAAGAGTAAAGTTGCCTGGAAGTGCCTGACCTGCCATTTAAAAACCCTGGGTTTGGTTTTCCTACACCTGGAACACAAAACTACAAAATACCAAAGTTGGAGGCAAGCTTGGTAATTAATATCTGTCCTCTTACAGATGAAAAAAAAAAAAAGGAGCATGACCTGACCAAGGTTAATAATAATACTACAAAGGAAGGCTCTTTGGGATTCCCATGTCCCTGTAATAGGTGTTAGAATTTGGTTGTAATGTGCTCTTTCACTTACAGAACAAAGAAAAAAACCTTGCACGTCAACAATGTGTGCCATCAAAGTTCCCCATGCCTCTGCATGCCTCTGTGTGGTTTGATTCTCACCATCCAGTGTAGTGGGCATTATTTTTCTCATTTTACACATAAGGAAAACGAGGCCCAGAAAGGTTAAGTCCATTCAGTTAGTAGGTAGCAATCCTGAACTCAAGCTTCAATCTTCTGCCTTTTATTCAATATCATTTCCAAGTCCTTCACTTTGATTTTCTGGGGGATGAGTGTGCAGCAGGAAATTAGCTATAACTTAGGGCAAGATATATAGCTCTGAAGAGTCTCTGCCTTATTCGGGAAGCAGATATTGTGGATTGCTAGAAAATCTAAAGAAAGGATTCTGATTTTTAGTGACAGTACCCTCACCTTCATTGGCATGTAAATTCTTCCCTCTTGGAACCACTGTAGCTGGAGCAGGGGCCTCATGGCTGCTAACATAACGGTGCTGTCATCTCAGCAGCTGCTTCTCCTTACCTAAATACCACCTCCCAGGCATAGTGTGGCTCTGAGAAGCTCAAGCTGTTAGAATCCGGTGGCTACTCCAATTCCTGATTCTGTCACTTTAGATGACCTGAGCTACATTATTTAAACTTCCTATATCTCAGTTTTTCCATCTATAAAAGGGGCTAGTTATAGTACCTTCCTGAAAAGGTGAAGACTAAATGACGTTAAAAAAAAAAGGAGAGTAACGTGCTCAATAAATATTTGTTGTTGCTGCTGCATTTGCTCTTGAGACAAGGGATTCTGTCACAGAGCTGAGTTTTCACCAGAAGTACAAAGGAAAATGTTCATAGTTCATGGACACAGTGGCCATGCCAGGGTGAGATGTATCCAAAAGATAGAATCACATACAGTTGACTTCTTAACCCTGGGGAATGATTGCTCTGGACCTTATACTACAAGGGTTGTCTTCATTTTCTGCCAGTATCACCCCTCTGGCCCCACCCTGTCAACAAAGCAGAGGGCTTTAACTCACCCACTTGAAAAGCTAAAGCTGACCTGGAAGTTATGATTATGTATTTATTTAGTCTGAAAGAAGGAACAGAAATAAGAGCCTTTTATATAACTCAAAGAGTGTAAAGGAGCCAGTGATAAAAACCATTGCCCTGAACTTTTCCAAAGCACCATAAATCTCTCTGTTATGATTCTCCAGCTGTTGCCAAGGTATCATTTGTCTTGTTTTTGTCCTCAGATAGACTAAAACAAACGTTAACGAACTTCCTCCTGTTGGTTTGTGTATCTGTGATCAAAGGCTATAAAAATGCTACTATTTCCAGTTACTCCCATCATCTGAAACACACCTAATGCTTGTTGTGTGGTTTCTCAGCAATATTCTCATTTTAATTTGATAGCTTTTTGTGTTTGTCTGTTTCCCTTTCAAAGCTGTTTTTTCCTCCCTTCCCTCCCTTCTGTGTTTCTTTCTGTCTCTGCTGATATTTTTGGCATGTTTAGATCATCTTTCCACTGACCTTTCAGTGGCTTAGCATTTTGTTGCAATGCAAAGTGAAGTTGGGAAACAGAGCCAAGTGACAAACTGTGAAGTAACAGCTCAGCCTTCACAAAGCAAATGTGCCTTGTGCTCTTTCTTGCCAGAGCAGATGTAGCCTCAGTGGACTGTGGGGAACATCATCTCTCAGGTAAAAATAAATTACCAAGATTAGGACCAAATGATGCAAATCCTTTCATTTGCAAACAGATCATGAACTGGGAGTCATGCGGAAGGAAGACCAGACTGAGAATCAGTTAGGATCCCACCCTCAGCTTAGTCCAGAATACTCTGCCAATCAGCTATTTGGCCGCAGGTGAGTGACTTTAAAAAATGTCAAATGTGCCAATGCGTAAAATGAATTCACATAGGTCATGGACACAGGTGACATAGGAAGTTAATCAACAAAAAAAAATAGAATGAAGTAACAAAACTCTGTGACCTACCACCCAGTCTCAGGCAATCCTAACATTTTGATGGCTTTGCTTTAGACATGAAGTTCTTTGCAGACATCTTAATCCCCTGTCTTTTTCTTCCATCCCGGAGATAAACACTATCTTGCATGCACATGCTTTCAGACTTTTTTTTTGCATGCATATGCATCTTTCCACAATATGTACTGTCATTTTGCATGTCTTAAAATTTTAAATAAATGGAACATACCACACATATTCTACCACTTGCTTGTTATCTAATTTAGCGTTTGATTTCAACAATTTAGCTCTAGTTCATTCATTTGAACTGCTTTGTTTCAGGAACAGACCACTATAGTTACGTGTTTTCTGTTGGTGAACACTTAGATTGCTTCTAATTTTACACTATTATAAACAGTGCTTCAATGATTGTTCTTGCACGTTTCCTTGTCCTAACATACAAAAGCTTCTCTACAATAGCATTTTTCAAAATGTTTTGTCCATACAGCTACACGGAAACCCAGCACATGCCTGTGCTACGTTTATGTACGTGTAAGCATATACGGAACAAAAGTTTCTCAGAATATTTACATTTATTTTCTACTTAATTCTAATTTTGTTTATTTATTTTATTTTATTCTGAGATGGAGTCTCTCTCTGTTGCTCAAGCTGGAATGCAGTGGAGCAATCAGCTCACTGTAACCTCCGCCTCCCGGGTTCAAGCCGTTCTCCTGCCTCAGCCTCCTGAGTAACTGGGATTACAGGCAAGTGCCACCACTCCCAGCTAATTTTTGTTGTTGTTGTTGTTGTTGTTTTGTTTTTTAATTATGGGGTTTCACCACATTGCTCAGGCTGGTCTCAAACTCCTGCACTCAAGCAGTCCACATGCCCCCGCCTTCCAAAATGCTGGGATTAAAGGTGTGAGCCACTGCACTTAACCTCTAATTCAGTTTAACCTGGACTATTTCATATACCACTGTATGTAATTTAGGAAATTGAATTTATGGAATTTAGGAAAGTACTTGTATAACCCAGAGATGCATCTCCACTGGCAAGCTGAAAAACAGTGTTCTGGGATACATACATAGACATGGACCTGCTGGGTCATAGGTTGTGCCCATTTTCAAACTGGTAAGTTTTTCTACATGAGTTCATTTTATGCATTTAAGCGGATATTTGTATTTAGCTAACATTCCACGTATTTCTAGATGAAGGTTTTCCAGATTCTTTATGGCTGGAAATGGAAGTCCTGTGTTAAGCTTTCTGGGTTTCAGTTTTTTTCACCTGTCAGAAGAAGCCGCACACACAAGAGGTAGTAGACCCTTCGGTATTTTGCAGACTCCTTTCTCTGTAGCCCTGGGGAGAGTTCTGGGGTCTGCCACAGTGTGGGTAAGTTGCAAGGTAGAGGTAGACACAGGGAATGGGAGAAAATGAGTAGATGGAGTTCTGGGTCTTTTACCATAGTCCCTACCCAAGGAGCCCATTTTAATATTGATCCATTGTGTTTCCATTAGATTTAATTGACAAAAGGGTTGTATAGTTTAAAATATTCTTAAATGATGGATTTAGATGTCCTCGAAGGCTGTTTTCAGATTTAAACAAATGGAAATAATTTTTAAGTCTCTGGATCATTAAAAATTGCAGCCAGAGTTAAAGAGTTTGATGGCTTATAGAATAAAGTTTCCTGAGTAGGGGCTAGGAAAACAGTGTTTGTTTATGATAGCTGATGTGCTCTTTCTGCTGCTGGAGAGCGTGACTAGGATGGGATGCTTTCAGCATCCTCGAAGGCAAGGAGTTAGGCGTACTCTTGGGCTGGAGTTGCCCCTTTGAGGGCAAGCATTTCTGCTGTGTCACACGGCCTTCCTCTGCAGGAGGCAAGCATTTCTGTTGTGTCACACGGCCTTCCTCTGCAGGAGGCTGCTTTAAAAAACTACTTCGTGTTCATTGTGTTTGTTTACTTCTGTGAATAAGGCTCTAATATGAATTTTTCTGAAATCCATTTCAGCCCAGCACACTGTTCCACATGCTTGCAATGAAACTCATTTGCTCAGTGGGGTACTCAGTTAAACCTCTATATTCATAGGGATGACATTTTATTATCACTTTAATGAAAATATTTGCTTCCTCCTGAGTTTATTTTTACCTTCCCAATATAGTAAAAGCATTAAAAAAAAAAAAAAACACGAAAAGACAGGTAGTAACTTGGTAGTTAAGTGACTTAGGGGTGGGCACATGTTAATTAATTTGTATGGGATCGTGAACCTCTTTTCTAATAAATGCCCTTGCCTTCCCCACCTCCCCTGAGCCTCTTCCTCTCAGACTCTAGTCCCTCCCTTCAATTTGTCCTGCTTGTATTTCGTCTTCTTTAATCACTGTTTTCATCACATCACTCCCATGCTCAGAAACCCTCAAGGGATCTTTATTTCCCACCACATCAAATCAAAACTCAGCTGCCTGTTTTCAAGCTTCTCCTAATCTATCCTTTCCTTACATCTCCAGCTTTATTTCCCTTGCCAGATGTGGCTCTGGTTCCTGTGGTTTAGAGATAATGGAATTTTTGAACACCAAAAAAAAAAAAAAATTAAAATCTGCATCATTTTTCCTAGGCATAGTTCAGCCCAGTTTTCTTAAACAAAAGCACACGTCAACAGTTATTGCTTATCTCCTCCACGGGCCATGTGAGCAAGACTGTGGGGCCCTCCAGGCGGCAGGAAGAGGAAAGCAGTTTATGCACTGCTCTTTCTCACTACTTTGGGAGAAGCTGAGGACCTGAGAAAGGTGACTTTAGTCACTAGAGTGCTTTGTGAAGAGCTTTGCTGTTCTGACCAGACAGGCAGAATGCAAATATAGAAGGAGAGTAGGAAAGATATTAAATATCAAGCCAGAAATGTCTGGCTCAGAAATTTGTAAAGAAGTAGGTCTTGCATAAGGGAAAACTCAGCAGACCACCAAGCTCTGGAAAAGATACTGCAGGAGTCGGTAAATGAAATTTAAGGGAAGGCATCCACATTGGAGGGGGCTTTTTTTCTTTTTCTTTTTCTTTTCTTTTCTTTTCTTTTGTTCTCACCCTGTTGCCCGGGTTGGAGTGCAGTGGCATGATCTCGGTTCACTGCAACCTCCCCCTCCCAGGTTCAAGCAATTCTCCTGCCTCAGCTTCCCAAGCAACTGGGATTACAGGTGCCCAGCTAATTTTTTGTATCTTTAGTAGAGACAGGGTTTCACCATGTTGGCCAGACTTGTTTCGAACTCCTGAGCTCGTGATCCACCTGCCGTGGCCTCCCAAATTACTGTGCTTATAGGCGTGAGCCACCGCGCCTGACCAGGGCTTTTAAATTAATGTGAAGATAGCTTATTTTAAACTTTTTGTTTATTGTGGGGTGAGTGTGCATGTAATTAATGTTGTTTACTTTGTTTTTCTCTATTTCAATAAATTCTGACTCTTCCATTTAAGTAGCAGTATGATTTGGAGGAAATTTCTTCATTCACGAAATGGATATAACAATGGTATATGGCATATAGGATCATTGTGAGGACTAAATGAGATAATATATTTTAAAACTGTAGAATATCATTCAAGAAAAAGTATTAGCTATCATTTCTGTCATCATAATTATTGTAAGTATGCATAAGCGGCACTTGATTTGAACAGCTGCTAAAATCCTCCCTTCTCTCTAACTCTCTTCAGGTCAGTTCAGTTCAGCAAGCATTTCATGAACACTCCTATATGTAAGACATTGAAGATACACTGATGGTATCATACATATTACATTGACTAGCCCTTACGCAGCATATTTTCTAGAAGGAAAGGCAAACCCAGAAGTCGATTATTTCAGTATAAGGTTCTACTGTCCAGCATAGTCACCAGCAGCCACATGTGGCTACTGAGCACTGAGAATGTGGTTAGTCTGAATTGAGATGTGTTCTTTGTGTAAAATACACGCTGGATTTTAACAAGTTAGTATGATAAAATAGTGTAAAGTATCTAATCATTTGAACAAGGTGTTGATTACCTGTGAAAATGATCAGTTAGATAACAAGTTAAACAAAATATATAATTAAAATTAATTTCACCTGTTTCTTTTGATTTTTTTAAATGTGGCTACTAGCTATTTTACATTTACGGGGTTCCTGCTGTACTTCTTTTTCTTTTCTTTCTTTTTTTTTTTTGAGATGGAGTTTCACTCCGTCACTTAAGCTGATGTGCTGTGGCCGGATCTTGGCTCACTGCATCCTCCACCCACTGTGTTCAAGTGATTCTCCTGCCTCAGCCTCCTGAGTAGCTGGGATTACAGGCATCAACCACCATGCCTGGGTTTTTTTTTTTTTTTTTGCATTTTTGGTAGAGATGGGGTTTCACCGTGTTGGTCAGGTTGGTCTTGAAATCCTGACCTCAAATGATCTGCCCGCCTCAGCCTCCCAAACTGCGTCCTGTGGCTCCTGTTATATTTCTATTGGACAGATCTGGTCTCATGTGACACAATGCAGGTTAAAACAGGGTACATGGGGAGCTCAGAGGGGTGGCATGTCATGCAGCCTGTCCTCCTGCCCAGGGGAGCAAGTGAAGCCTATGCCAATTGTTAAAGGACGAGCAGAAGTTGTCCAGGCACCGCCAGGTCTAAAGGGCCCTCCAGATGAAGGTAGCAGGAAAGGAATGGAAGGCATGGTATTTCTAGGCACTGGAAGCATTTGGTTATTCATAAAGCATTATGAGTTAGGGACTGGCAGAAAATGAAGCTGCAAGAGAAGTGAAGCCTGGTCTTGCAATTCTTTAACATCCAGCTGCCATCAAATGCTCTGGTCCTTGACTTATATATGAGGTCTTGTTATTTTTCTGCTATTCATTTCTTTGACATTTTGGACTATTCAGCTTATATCTATGAGGTTTACGTCCATGAGGATAGACTTTCTTAGAGGATAGGACTGATGAATGCACATGTGCTGCTTGGCAGGTAAAATGCCATTTCTCCTATGCAGATAACCCTGAAGAGTCAATGGGCAGCCTACAGTTGCTGCCAGGAGATGAATAAGAATGATGAATGAGAATCATATAGCAAGTGAGAGCCCTTCACATGGTCTGAATCATTGGGCTCAAGGAGAGTGTACATGGCTGCAGTCACATCCATTTACCTGTCAATAGATTTCAGTGGAATCCCTCTCCTCCCAAATTCTCACTAAGGAATGTAGTCATTCATCAGATTACATTAGTTTGGAAGCTCCTTATACCCATTCTATTCCATTTAGAAGCTCATTATATACATTCTATCCCAAACCACCCACAGGTCTTCTGCCTTTAATGAATATGTATTCAGTGGGGATTCAGTAGGTCATGCAGGATTAGGTGAAAGAGGAGTGGCAACGGGAGAACCCAAGAACCCAAGTGGATGGAGAGGCTACAGTTAGAAGACCTCTTCCACATCTGCTTTTCACTTTTTAATATGCATAGAAGTCAAGTGAAGATCTTTAGAAATGTAGATTCTGATGGATTAGATGAAGGGATGGGACAACAATCTGTATTTTCATCAAGTTTCCAGGTCATGTCAGTGCTGCCAGTCATGGACTGCACTTTGAGTTGCCAGGTCATGGAGACCACATGTCTACTATAATCTCTTACCAAGCCTGAAATCTACATTGCAGCAACCCTAATGCATTGTTAGAAGCCTCTGCTGGAAGACCTCTGTTGTGCCTCACCTCCTCCTACTTTGTGGAGTGAGTCTCATTGTTGGAGTGAGTCTTATTCTTGTCCCTGGATGCTCCTAGGCAATTT